TCAGATCACTCTCACCTGTAACTCCAAAACTATCACAGTACATGAAGAATTATGTATTGATATCAAACCAATACTGACATGTTATTTTGTTCCTCACTTCTAAAAGAAACAAATCAATTCCTCTAAGTTTTGTACTACAAGTGTTATAAAAGGTACAGCATTTGTTAACTAAAAATCAAATAGATATTTTGGACTAACTAAAATTAGAGTTCTAAAGTGGAATAGTAGAACATAGGTAAAACGAAAATAGAGAAGAATAACAGAGGGGATTTGGAGGTTTAAGCAAGGAGGTACCCAATGTAGATACATAAAGCTACTGCTACATGCAGTAAAGAAAATCCCCAGTGCCAGATATGGAACAGCCTTATAGGAGATGTTAGTCAAGGACACCCCACAGGTCTCGCAAAACAGTAAAGGTTCTTGTCAGTCTTCTTCATTGTTCTCCAAAACTATTGCCAAAAATATTGCACACTCAATTTGGAGATACTGAGAAAGCAAGCTGGAACCCTGAAGGAAACATCCCAGGTATTCAGTAACTTTCAAAATTCTGGAAGGTATGATGAAGGGCTGAGCTGTTAGCTATTGACAGATTCTAGGACAAGGGAGACGTTGTCTTCAGTTGTGTATCCACTGATGAGCCTCTGGCTCCAATGGACAGCTCCAAATCGATGGTCAAGTAGAGAGTCTTTGTTGAACTCAGTGTGTCATAAAATAAAATAGAAATGTGGTAATGAGGTTTGCAGAAAAGAATACACTAGAAATAAGTGGGAGAGAGATAAGTGGAAGATGAGAGTAATCAGTATGAATTATTTACATGTATGCAATTTTCAAAATTTAATATAATTAATAAGATGAAGATGGGCAGATCTTCATCTTTCTTTCTTCTCCTCCAGATCCAATTGCCCAGTCTCATGCCCAGCTCTGGAGCAGAACAACTTCTGTGATCTACCTTTCCCCTCTGATCCCACTCCAAAAGAATGACTAAGATCTTTTCCTCCAACCTTGCTTTCTCCAACTCATCCCATTATCCCAGCCTCCAATATCAGAAGGCCTCTCCTGTGAACATACCCAATGAGCAGGCAAGAGAAACAGGTAAGCTATTTATGTGATTTTCCTGCAAGCTTCACCACTGCCTTCTACCCTCCAAATCCAATCCCCCAATCTCATCTCAAGTTTTGCAACAGAATTTCTTCTGGAGCCACAGATTTTTACCCCCTAACCCTACTCATTGCCTTGCCCTATCCTACAACTCAAGCAAGCACTCCCTTGTAGATGAAATTCTAAACAGTCTTATTAAATAAGAAACACAGAGCCAAATACAGAGGTAATAGCCAAAGAGATCGGAGCAATAGCCATGACTAGCTTTAGCTTACCATCAGCAGTAGCTTCCCCAGGGAAGCTACTTCCTGTCTGACTTGTGTTTTTATTGCCTTTCTGTTCTGCTTTCTCATGGGCTCTAAGCCCAGGCACATGATTTCCTCATCACTTTCTGTCGATACAGACGCCCAGGTCTCTATGGTTGGTACTGGGATTAAAGGCTTGTGTCATCACGCTTGGCTGACTCCTTGACCACACAGAGACTCTGCCTGCCATGTGATCAGATTAAGGGCATGTGCTACCACTGTTGGACTTCTGCTTAATGGCTATTTGACCTCTGATCTCCAGGTAACTTTATTTATTAACATACAAATAAAATATCATATTTCATCACAAATAAAACATCACCACATTTCCCCCTTTTATTCTAATAAAAGAGAAAAAAGCTATAACTAATGTAAGGAAAACTATATACAATAAGTACAATAACTATATACAATATATACAAGCAATAAATACCTCAACAATGTTTACTCTATTTGACATTGACAATTGACAAGTTCAGAAAAAATATTTCATTATCTATCCTATTTTGGTAATTCCAAAATGTACCTGATTCACCTTTTATCCTAACTTTATTACTAACAGAGAACTATCTTATAATGTCTTTCAAATTTATGTACTTACAAATCTTTAGTGAGTTTCTTTTCTGAAATTCTTAACAAGGAAAACTATAACTATAACTACTAATTTTCAACTAACTATAACCATAACTATCTAATCTTCAACTCCCTCAGAGACCCAAGAAGGAAATAATGTTACTAATAAAACAGGAAGTGCATGCAAGCAGCTTCCAAAATAATGTCAGTAGAAAGAAACAGACAGCAGCCTGGACAGTCATTCATGAGAAGTAAGATGCAAAGTACCAGTAAGCCACAAGCCATGTGGCAACTTACAGATTAATAGAAATGGGTTAATTTAAGACATAAGAAGTAGATAGCAAGAAGCCTGCCACAGCCATACAGTTTATAAGTAATATAAGTCTCTGTGTGTTTATTTGAGTCTGAATCGCTGCAGGCCCCAGTGGGACTGGAGAAATCTTCAGCTACACTTCCTGCTTACCCACAGGCCACTCCTGCCAGGGAACCAGGTAGGCTGACAGATCTTCACCTCACCCTCTGTTCTTCCATACCCAATTCCTTAGACTCATCCCCAGTTCTTCAACAGAACACCTGACATAGCCTTCTAAGACCGCCACCTCCATCTCCTGTATATCCCATAGATCTTGACCTCCTAACTTATCTTTTCTACTAGTTGTTTTATACCAGCCACCAACCTCAGCAGACACTACAGGAAATCTTCTAGTAACCTCATTCTACTCTCTGCCTCTATCCCAATGAGAGTAAATACACAGATCATGATGGAAGATTCTGTCTTCCTCCATCCTGTGAACACTGTCGGACCCTTAGATTATTTTCATCCCTAAGTGTTGCTTCCCAGTATCAATTTCCAGAAACATGTTTTACCTGGAACTCCTATGCATATGCCTATCAAGTCCACAGAAAATTTCCTACCACACAATACTTAAGCACCACACTCTCCAAAAATCCAGAAAAGAAACAGAAAGCATTGAACAAAACCCCCACACAACAGAAACAAAACCAGATGTTAATACCTAGAATGATAATATCTCCAATCCCAGATGCATAAATTCAATCATAAAATCATAATCAACAACAGCCTGGACAACATATATCTATTAGAGCCCAGCAACCCAACCTCAGAAGACCCTGATTATTCCAACAAATAAGAAAAAGGACTTAAAATAGTCTGTATGATGACAATAGAGGTCCTTAAAAAGGAAATGAATAAATCACTGGAAGAAATCCAGGAAGACACAAATAGTAGAAGAAAATGAATAAAACTGTTCAAGACCTGAAAATTAAAATAGGAAAAATAAAGAAATCCCAAACTGGGGAAATTCTGGCAATGAAGAATTTATAAACTCACACAGGTACCTCAGAGGGAAGCCTCACCAGCAGAATACAAGACATGGAAGAGAGAATCTCAGGCATTAAATGCATGATAACAAAGATGGGTACATTGGTCAAATAAAAAGTTAAAGCTAAAAAAACTCTTGAGACAGAACATTTAGGAAATCAGGAACACTATGAAAAGAGTAAATCAAAAAATAATAAGAACACAGGAAGGAGAAGAAACCAAAGTCAAAGGTCCAGAAAATATTTTCAGTAATATTATAGAAGAAAATTTTCTTAACCTAAATAAGGAGATGCATACAAAAACATATGGAATAACAAATAGATTGGACCAGAAAAGAAAATCACATCAGTACATAATAATCAATACAGTAAATGTACAGAAGGAAAAAGAATATTAAAAGCTGAAATGGAAAAGAAAACAAGTAATATGTAAACTCAGACCAATTAGAATTTCACTTCACTTCTCCATAGACACTCTAAAAGCCAAAAGGGCATAGATAGATGTCAACAGATTCTGAGAGATCACATATACTATGCCCAGCAAAAGTATCAATCACCATCAATGGTGAGAATAAAATATTCCATGATAAATCCAAATTTAAGAAATATTTATAAAAAATACAGCCCTACAGCAATACTAAATGAAAAACTCCAACCAATAAGAGGCTAGCTACAAACATGAAGACACAGGGAATAAATAATCTCAGATCAGCCAATTCAAAAGAAGGGAAGCACACACACACACACACACACACACACACACACACACACACACACACACACACACCATCACCACCACCACCATCAACAACAAAATATCAGGAAGCATCAGTCACTGGTTATTGATATTTGTCAAAAATCAATGGTTGCAATTCCCCAATGAAAGGGCACAGACTAACAGAATATTTGGGAAAACAGGATCCATCCTTCTGCTGCATCCAGGAGCCATACCTCAATATCAAGGATAGACATTACCTCAGGTTAAGGGGTTGGTTGCAACACAACATTCCAAGCAAATAGACTTAAAAGCAAGCTCGTCTAGGCATTTTAATATCTTAAAAAAATAGACTTCAACTAAAAACAAATCGGAAGTGGTAGGAAGGACACTACATACTCATCATAGGAAAAATCCATCACGATGACATTTCAAGTCTTAACATCTGTCCCTCAAACACAAGGGCACTCAAGTTTGTAATAGAAATAGTACTAAGGGATAAATCTCATATTGACCCACACACAATGATAGTAGGAGATTTCACCTCCCCACTCTCACCAATCAATAATTCATTGAGACAAAAACTACTCAGAGAAACACTGGTGCTAACTGAAGTTATAAACCAAATGAACCTAATAGATATTTAAGGAACATTTCTCTCAAACACAATGGAATATACCTTCCTCTTTGCATTTCATGGACCTTTTCCCAAAATTTATGACATACTTGAAAACAAAACAAGTACCAACAGATTCAAGAAAATGAAACTAACTCCCTGCATCCAATAAGATTATCATGGAGTAAAGCTGGATATAAATGGGAGAAACAACAGAAAGTTACAAGCTCATAAAAATTGAACAATTCTGTACTGAATGAAAAATTAGTCAAGATATATAAAGAAAGAAATTGAATAATTTCTACAATAGAATGAAAATGAATACACAACATACACAAACTTATGAGATACAATGACGACTATTTTGAGAGGTAAGCTCATAGCACTGAGCACCAACATAAAAAATAAACGGGAGAGATCTTATACTATCAACTTAAGACCACACCTAAGAGCCCAAAGACAAAAAGAATAAATCACACACAAAAGGAGTAGATAGCAAGAAATGATCAAATTCAGGGCTGAAATTAATAAAATAGAAACAAAGAGAACAATAGAAAAAAAACAACAAAACAAAGAATTGATTCTTTGAGAAATTCAATAATATTTCAAACAGTCAAATTCACTGATAAGCAGAGAGACAATATCCAAATTAATAAAAACCAAATTTGAAAAGGGTAACATAACAACAGATACTGAGGAAATCCAGAGAATGACTAGGGCATACTTTAAAAACTTGTATTCTTCCAAATTGGAATACCTAAAAAAAAAAAATGGATAATGTTCTTGATAGCTACCACATACCAAAGTTAAATCAAGATCAGATAAGTAATTTAAATAGACCTGTAAGCCCTAGTGAAATAGAAGTGTTCATTAAAAGTCTCCCAACCAAGAAAAATCCCAGGATCAGATAGTTTCAGCACAGAATTCTACCAGATTTTCAAAGTAGAGTTAACTCCAGTACACCTCAAATTATTCCACAAAATAAAAACAGAAGAAACATTGCCCAATTCATTTTACGAAGCCACAGTTTCCCTGATATCAAAACCACATTAAGACCTAATGACAAAAAAGAATACTAGACCAATTCCCCTGATGAACATAGTTTCAAAAATACTCCATAGAATACTTGCAAATTGAATGCAAGAACACATAAAAATATCATCCACTATAATCAAGTAAGGCTTCATCCCAGAGACACAAGGATAGTACAATATACAAAAATCAATAATTGCAATTAATCATATAAACAAATGGAAAGACAAAAATTACATAATCATCTCAGTAGATGCAGAAAAGGCTTATGACAAAATACAGCACTGATTCATGATAAAAGTCCTGAAGAGATTAGGAATACAGGGAATATACCTTTACATGATAAAGGAGGATAAGAGCTACTACAAAGCTATAGTAATAAGCAAGGTATTATCATACAAACAGACATGTTGAGCAATGAAATTGAATTGAAGACTGAGACATAAATCCACACACCTTATGAACATCTGATTTTTTTTAAATAAAGAGGCCAAAAATACATGTCAAAAAAAGGACAGCATCTTTATCAAATGGTGCTAGGTTAACTGAATTTCTGTATGTAGAAGGAAAATAGATCCATATTTATTAACCTGCACCAAACTCAACTCCAAATGGATAAAAAAACTCAATATAAAATAAGATACACTGTACCTGATATAATCTGATGATAAACCTGAAAGTGGGAAATAACCTTGAACTGGCACAAGAGAAAACTTCTAAACAGAACACTGTTAGTGCAGGCAGTAAGATTAACCCTTAATAAATGTTACCTTGTAGGTGGACTTTTCTTACCAGCCCATCAGTTCTCAAATAATCAATATGGAAACTTAATATTGATTATAAATGCTCAGCCCATAGCTCAGGCTTGTTACTTGGTAACTTGTATAACTTAAATTAACCTACTTTTATCTACATTCTACCACATGGTATTACCTCTTTTTTATCCTGCATCTCCTCTTTCCTATCCATGTTTCTCTGGCAACTCCTCTGACTCTGCCCTTCTTCTTCCCAGTGTCCTTAGTCTGGTTTTTCCACATAACCTTATTCTGTCCAGCTTCTTTATTAAACCAATCATGACATACATTACACAGTATATAGAAGGATTATTCCTTAGCAGTACATCATGAAACTGAAAAGCTTGTGTAAGAGTAAGAACACCATCATCCAGACAGTGTGGGAACCTACAGAAATGGATTTTGTTTTACCAATTACACATCCTACAGAGGGATACTATATAAAATATTTAAGAATTCTTGAAACTAAATATGAAAAATAATGAAATTTTAAAGTGTGATAGTGATCTAAACAGAGAATTCTCAATAGAGGAAACTCAAATGGCTGAGAAACACTTAAAGAAATAAATGTTTAACTTTTTAATCATCAGGGGCATGCAACTTGATATTATTTTGGGATTTCATCTTACTCCTGTCAGATTGGCTAAGATCAATAACACAAGTGATAACTTATGTAGGCAAGGATGTGGAATAAGAGGAACACTCCTCCTAATGTGAGTAAAAACTTGTATAGCCACTATGTAAATCAGTTGGTGATTTCTCAGAAAGATGGAAATGAATTTACCTAAAGATCCAGCTATATCAATCTTTGGTATATACCCAAAGGATGCTCCATGATACCACAGGGAAACTTGATCAGTCATGTTCATTGCTGCGGTATTCATTATAGCCAGAAAATGGAAACAACCTACATGTCCCTCAACAGAAGAATGGATAATGAAAATGTAATACAATTATAGAATAGAGTTTTTCTCAGCTGTTTAATAAAATGACATCATGAAATTTGTAGGCAAATGAATAAAACTGGAAAAAATCCAGAGTGAGGTAACTCAGACCCAGAAAAATAAATATGGTATTTTTTTTTTGTTTATACATGCATGTTAGCCTTCAAATGAGTGATAAACAAGCTACAATTTGTAGATCCAATGATACTAGGTATAGAGAAAGTGACTAGAGGAGGAACATTTTATGCCTAAGGGATCTCCCTGAGAGGAGGAAATAGAAAAGATTTTATGGGTGAATTGGCGGTGGGAGAGATGGGAACAGGAATATCAGATGGGAGGTGGGAGGGGAGATGGGGAAAAGAGAGGGAATCTGGTGAGAGACAATGAGAATTGAGGGGCATTTGAGGGGAGGCATGGAAATCTAGTGCAGTGGAAACTAAATCATATGAAGGTGATTCTAATGATTTCTTGTCACCAAAGAAAGCTTCCCATACTCCTGCTGGGTTATATACAATTGAGTTGTTGGACACAGGGGTCCTTGGAAACCCTCCTCCAGATTCCTGACTGTTTCCAAGAGTAGGTATATTCTGTAAACTGACAACGTGGCACCATTTCTGAAGACAACACCCTGATTAGAGATTGAATATGCAGATATTTACCTGGTATCTACAAAGAGCCTTTATCACTAATTTCTAGTGTCTTTGGTACAGGAAGGTACTCTACAGTCTACAAAAAGAAAAATATATACACCAACCCTGCCCCAAAACCTTTAATCTACAATGTTGTCCTGCCTGTAAGTATGCTAGGGCAATGGTGGAATAAAGCTTGTAAGAGTAACCAAGCAACATTTGATTTAACTTAAGACCCATTCCTTGAAATGGAATCAATACATGACTTGGGTGACCAAGAATTCAGGATTAGATAGCCCAGAGAGTTAGGGTAAAACCAAATACTATTGTGAAAAAAATGAGTAATAGAATGACCCTTAATGATATTCTGCTATGCTCATAGATCAGTGCTTTATTTTGCAATCATCAGATAAATTTCTTTCTGCAATAGATGGAAATGCATATAGGGACCCACATTTAGATATGAGAGAGAGAGAGATCTTGGGAACACATCACATATACAATGTCTTCATTAAATTCCTCCCCTCATAGCTCAATGAACCCCCTGAAGAGGATGTAGAAAGAAAGAGCCAGAGTGGTAGAATATACCAGGAGAACAACTCCCTCTAAATCAACATGCACAAAGCTCATATGAACCACAGAGACTGAAGCAGCATGCACAGGGCCTACAATGGTCTGCACAGTTCCTGCATGTGTGCATCTTTCAGTTTAGTGTTTTTATGGGACTCCTGAGTATATGAATGAGTGGGTTTCTGACTTTGTGCCTTCCCTTGGGCTCTTTTCTTTCTGTTGGTTTTCCTTGTTCAACATCAATGCAATTGTTTCTGTTTTGTCTTATATTTTATTTTGTTACATTTTGTTATTTTCTCTTGAAAGGCTGTCCTTTTCTAATGGGTGATAGAAAATGAGTAGATCTGGATGGAGTAAAAGAGAAACTGGGAGGGTACAGGGAGTGGAAAGTATAATCAGGATATATTATATAAGGAAATAATCTATTTTCAATAAATGAAAAATAAAAAAAAACATGGAAAAAACATGAGCTTCTTTGGAAAAAGAATTTAAAATAGATCAAAAATATTTTTTTAAGTCAGCAAAATACCAGCAGGGCCAATCAATCATGAATACCTAAACTAACTAACAATATTGTTAATTTGTTAATTTTTAGTTGAGAATTTAAATAAAATTTATATGATTTTAACTATTATAAATGCATCTTTAAGTAATTTTTTTCACTAATTTCTTTTACAGTTTTTATAACTGACAATATGCAGGTGTCATATATTGTTCCTTCTTCTTTTCTTTTATTCCTCTCTTCCTTTCTTCCTCCCTTCCTTCCTTCCTTCTCTCCTTCCTTTCTTCCTCCCTTTCTTCCTTCCTTCCTTCCTTCCTTCTCTCCTTCCTTCCTTCCTCCCTCCCTCCCTCCCTCCCTCCCTCCCTCCCTCCCTTCCTTCCTTCCTTTATTTCTTTATTCCACTCAAAAGTCATTGAAAAGGTCAGGCCTAATATGTGAATGTGGCAGCTTGGTAATAGGGCTTTAGAGACATTCCTGTGACAGCCATTTTTGTAAGGCTGTCATTTGAACTTGGCTCCAAAATGGCAATGGAGACAGCACAGGGGTGCCGTGGTGAGTGTCCCCACCAGGCATACTTCTTCATGGAGTGGCAGGAGGGCCTGGCATGCTCATGACATAAACTAAGTGGAAAATCTGAACTGGTAATTTTCTGAGTTGATGATAGGCAATCTGGATTTTTCTTTGGTGGAGAATGAAAGCACAAACATGGAGTGGGGAAGAGGTAATGTCCTGGCATTGGAGGCACACTAGAAGGGACCTTATGTCTTCCAATACATAAAAAAATAAGTTTGACAGAGAATTGAGGATGGACATGTATGTATATATGTATGCATGCCTAGAGAGCATGTGTATGGGAGACAGACAGAGAGGGAGAGATTAAGCCATGTATTTTACCACAAC